CTTTGGTTGCTTTTGCAGTATGCTTTGGGTCATTGTCCATCTGCCCTGTGAAGCGGCGTCCAATGAGTTCTGAAGCATTTGGCTGAATATGAGCAGATAATATTGCCCGAAACACTTCAGAATTCATCCTGCTGCTTTTGTCAGCAGTCATATCATCAATAAATACAAGAGAACCAGTTCCATTGGCAGCAATACATGCCCACGCCATGACACTACCACCACCATGCTTCACTGATGAGGTGGTATGCTTAGGATCATGAGCAGTTCCTTTCCTTCTTCATATTCTTCTCTTCCCATCACTCTGGTACAAGTTGATCTCGGTCTCATCTGTCCATAGGATGTTGTTCCAGAACTGTGAAGGCTTTTTTACATGTCGTTTGGCAAACTCTAATCTGGCCTTCCTGTTTTTGAGGCTCACCAATGGTTTACATCTTGTGGTGAACTCTCTGTATTCACTCTGGTGAAGTCTTCTCTTGATTGTTGACTTTGACACGCATACACCTACCTCCTGGAGAGTGTTCTTGATCTGGCCAACTGTTGTGAAGGGTGTTTTCTTCACCAGGGAAGGAATTCTTCGGTCATCCACCACAGTTGTTTTCCGTGGTCTTCCGGGTCGTTTGGTGTTGCTGAGCTCACCGGTGCATTCCTTCTTTTTAAGAATGTTCCAAACAGTTGTTTTGGCCACGCCTAATGTTTTTGCTATCTCTCTGATGGGTTTGTTTTGTTTTTTCAGCCTAATGATGGCTTGCTTCACTGATAGTGACAGCTCTTTGGATCTCATCTTGAGAGTTGACAGCAACAGATTCCAAATGCAAAATGCACACTTGAAATGAACTCTGGACCTTTTATCTGCTCATTGTAATTGGGATAATGAGGGAATAACACACACCTGGCCATGGAACAGCTGAGAAGCCAATTGTCCCATTACTTTTGGTCCCTTACCAAGTGGGAGGCACATATGCAAACTGTTGTAATTCCTACACCGTTCACCTGATTTGGATGTAAATACCCTCAAATTAAAGCTGACAGTCTGCAGTTAAAGCACATCTTGTTCGTTTCATTTCAAATCCATTGTGGTGGTGTATAGAGCCAAAAATGTTAGAATTGTGTCGATGTCCCAATATTTATGGACCTGACTGTATTTGCTCTTTTTTAGAGCTGGCACATGCGCTCTGAAGAAATGGCATACCCGCGCCGTTCCTTTCAGAGTACTGTACCATGGGCCAGGACTCCCATGCGCATGCATGGGAGTGACGTCATCGTGGCTCAGCCAATCAGGTGGTCGGAGCTTGTGAACCCGGAAGGAAGACTGGGTGAAGATAGAAGCCTCTGCAGTGGTGACAGGGCACCGCTGGAGGGCATCATTTTAAGGTAAGTCCTTCATAATGTGCTAGTATGTGATGCATACTAGCGCATGACATTACCTTGCAGGGAATATTTTTTTATTTGTATTTTTTACCTGCTGTTTACTACAGCTTTAAGCAGTGCATGGGCATGGATTATTTTTAGATAATAATGTCACTTTAATAACTCAGAAACTGCAGATGGGTTTACAGAAAGCTGAATGAGTTGCCGACAAAACTGCATATCATAAAAAAAAAACAAAAAAAAAACCCATCAATTTATTTTTCATGCAAAGAAACCATCCATCTGGTATTTGCAATATAGAAATAATTGTTTAAAGTGGTAGTAAACCACATTTGATAAAACAAAACACTGGGTCTTCCTTCCAGGTTTGCTGGCTCTGCTCGCTTGCAATGGCCTGGCTGCGATGATGTCACTCCTGCGCATGCGCCAATGACGTCACCGGCTGCTTCACACTTAAATATCTCCTAAACAGTGCAAGTGTATGAGATATTTATGATACTGACAGGTAAGCCTTACCTGTAGGTACAAAGCAACAACGGAGTTTACTCCAACTGTAAGGAATGTAGGCTGCTGAAAACAGTCAGCCTACTCCAAAAGTGTGCCTAAATACTGTTTGCAAATTACCAACACTGCAACACAGGCAGGAACACTGCAAAGGAGTTAGAAGTGACAGACTTAGCTGTGTTCTCATATCAAAGAACATCATCACAACTGACACCAACCCACTTCCACAACCTAACCTCTTTTCAGTCCTTAGATGTGATGGCTGCATTAGTTTTAATTATTCAGGAACATTTTCAGCCAATTCCAAAAATTACCCCTTGATCCTGCCAGAAATGCAGTGTCCTTGTCACTTCCTGTGAGCTGACCTGAAAGCACAAATAATGGTACCTTATTTGTGTAACTTATTAGTTCTGTCCTTCCCCATGTAGTGGAGATGAACAGGTCCTGCCCGTGTGACAACCATGGCTTCCTCCACAGATACAATGAAGAAATAAGTGTAGACAGGAAGGGTCACGATAGTGTAAAGTCCAGCTTTACCAGGTGCAAATAAAGAAAAGTCTGAAAAAGATAACTAATGCAGCTATTTCACCCAAAGACTAGTAAGCTGCAATATATTATATTTTTGTTTGTTTACTCTTGATATGTGCCTGCTGTACCGTGCTCTTGTATAGAAAAAGTATCCTGTTCTCTTTGTATTGCTTCCTTTGTGTGAAATCCCTGGTGTTCTTGCCAGTCCCTCTGTCTTCCTATTAAAAATTGACCACACTACACAGGAGAACACACCGTGGTCAGTTCTCTAGCTATGCTGGGAACTCAGCCTGCTTTCCTCCAATGATCAGACTTGTGCTGACTCACCCCTTCCCTGCACAGCCATTCACTGGGAAGATAAGTTTACTGCTGTTTCTCCTTCCCCAACTCTTATGCAGCTGAGAAAAGTAGGAACGTGATCACTTATTTAAAAAAAAAAAAAGGGTTAAAAAAGTAATTATATTTTTTTTTATATCTATAAACAAATGTTTCATCTTTTATTTCTGTTTAAAACTGAATGGATTGTTTTACAAGGTGACAGTTCGCAATCACTTTAAAGTTATTCTAAAATACATAAAGTAATTCTAAAGTTTAAAGTTATTCTAAAATAAAATAAATCTCTCTATTTGTCACTGCAAAACTAGCTGCAAAATCCGGTCAGTACCAACTGTTAATGCTGCCGCAAAGCATCATCGCATTGTTAGGGTTTCTGCTGGGGAACCACTGCTTTGTTTGTTTCCACTGAGCACCAATGCCCTGTTAAGCCTGCCATACACATATAGATTTCTTTAGTTCAGTCTGTAGGCTAAACTAACAGCACCAATGGAGAAATCTCCAGACACGGGCTTTTGTATTCTGACAGACAGCTCCACCGACTGTCAGAATACCTGAATAGTGTCTGCATCCTACTGGATGCAGGCATTGTGTGGCCAACAGTTTTCCATCTGGCTCCCTCAACAAGAATCGATAAAAAATTTTGCCAACAGGGCCACCCATGGAGTGAATTTTAGTTGCTTCAGCAGGACTAGGTGGAAATTTGAAGTGTGCATGGCAAACAGTAGTATTTGCACTGTGCACCAATTTACTGTGTTTCCTCTGATCACCAATGCACTGATGTACTGTTAGTGGTTTCTGTTAAACACCAATGCACTATTTAGTATTAGTGTAAATATTATTATGTATCCTTTTATTTTATTTATTAATTATATTTCATTGGCTCTCGAGACATTAAAACTATTTCAAGTGTTCTTCAATCATAAGAAGCTTGAGAAATGCTGGTCTAGACCCTAGACCAGGGGTGGGCAAACTTTTTGACTTGAGGGCCGCAATGGGTTCATATATTGGACCCGGGGGCCGGACCAAGAGTAGATGAATGATGTGTATGTGTCATCCATAGTAAGTATAGTAATATTCCCCCATAGTAAGCATAGTAATTAATCCCCCATATAGTAATTCATCCCCCATATAGTAATTCATCCCCCATAGTAATTCATCCCCCATATAGTAATTCATCCCCCATAGTAATTCATCCCCCATATAGTAATTCATCCCCCATATAGTAATTCATCCCCCATAGTAATTCATCCCCCATATAGTAATTCATCCCCCATAGTAATTCATCCCCCATATAGTAATTCATCCCCCATAGTAATTCATCCCCCATAGTAATTCATCCCGCATATAGTAATTCATCCCCCATATAGTAATTCATCCCCCACAGTAATTCATCCCCCCTATAGTAATTCATTCCCCAAGTCCCCCCTGTGTCAATTCACTTACCTTTGCTCCGCGCGTTCCTCTCGCCGTGTTCCCGCGCCGTTCCGGTGTAGCATGAAAATCTGTCTCCTATGAGGATCTGTCCCCCTCGACGTATCTGCGCATGTGCCAGTTTCAGGCATTAGCAGCCGATCGGCGATCTCCGGCACATGCGCAGATACGTCGAGGGGGACAGATCCTCATAGGAGACAGATTTTCATTCTACACCGGTCTTCAGGGCGGACTGTGAGAGGAGCCTAGCGGGAGCCTAGCTCCGCGGGCCGGATTAAAAGGTCCACCGGGCCGTATACGGCCCGCGGGCTGTAGTTTGCCCATTGCTGCCCTAGACACCAGATGATAAGCTTCCAGATTTAACGTTTTTCTGACAAAGTCAGAAACCCACGTATTAAAAGTTCCACTAATTATTATTATTATACAGGAGTTATATAGCGCCAACAGTTTGCTCAGTTCTTTACAATATAAACGGAGACAATACAGCAACAATACAGTTCAATACAAGAAAGTTAGGAGGGCCCGGCTCCTTGGAGCTTACAATCTAAGATAACAACAAAACTATAACACTGGATCTTCTGTTATCAAATTATATTATAATGCCTAAAGAAAAACTCTAGTCCAAGTAAAACAAGCTTTCTAAAGCTTTTTAAGGATTGGTATGCTGCAATATGATAAATGTTTGCTTTTTGTTTATTACCACTTTAATCTTGGATGAATAAGTGGCAGACAGCTCCAGACTGAAGGTGAGTTTTGCCGCAAAAGCTGTTTTTTTTATTATGATTATTATTATTCTATTCCTGGACTGTTTTTATCTCTAATTTTAACTTTACATATAGTAATCCTTTATCTAACTTTATTCAAAATGCTTTGGCCAATGGACAGTTCATTTTTTCACTATACGCTTCTGGGCAGAGGCGGACTGACAACTCATGGGGCCCCCGGGCAATAGGGGATCATGGGACCCCTGTGTCCTTGCCCAAACTAAAAAAAGCCTATGAAAAAGGTACCAGGGGCATCTCATGGTGCTCCCTACTGACCCCGGGCCCTCGGGCAGTTTCCGAGTTTCCAAATGGTCAGTCCGCCCCTGCTCCTAAACTCAAGTTTAACAGCTGCTCGTGTACATGAGCCCTAACGGTGTATGTGGTTTTCATTCAGGTCAGTCCGCCCCGAGTGTTAATAATGATTTGTAATCAGTACCCAGAATGTTAATAACAGCATCAGCAGAGCTGAATGTTCGACCCAATACAGGCAAGATACTAAAAGTTTTTTTTCTGTCACAATACACTGCCATCGATAAGACAGATAAGATGGATCCATCATGTAGAAGACAAAGCTTTGCAAATGTTGTTTGTGGACTAACTTAAAAATGTATTTTTAAATTGGGTCTGTGCTTCAGAGTATTAAAGTGGAAGTACACTGCATCTGAGCAGCATAAACCAAAAACCTTATTTACCCACTTGCCTACCGGGCACTTATACCCCCTTCCTGCCCAGACCAATTTTCAGCTTTCAGCGATTCGTACTTTGAATGACAATTACGCGGTCATACAACACTGTACCCATATGAAATTTTTAATTTTATACTTTTTTTCACACACAAATAAGAGCTTTTTTTGGTGGTATTTAGTTGCCACTGGGTGTTTTATTTTTTGTGCTATAGTGCGGTTGGAAAGTGGTTAATTAACCTGTAATATTCAAAGCAAACCCCCTACACTTTCCCATAGCAGAAATACAGCTACAGGTCGGCAGGGCTGCGCAAAATCATGTATATATACGTGATTTTGCATTTCCAGGTAGGGGCCATTGGCGACCTCAGCTGTCGATTACCAGGTCCCAGCCAGTGATTCCCAGCAGACACCCGGAAATTGTCGAGTATCACTGCTGAGGGAGAGACCTGTATGTAAACCATAGAGATCTCTCCCCTGTCAGCTCCTGCACACTGCTTTGTATGGCTCTGCATAGCAGAGCCATACAAAGCAATGTGCTGACACAGTGTATGACACACACAGCACATAGTAAAACAGCACACAGTTAACCCTTTGATCACCCCAGATGTTAACCCCTTTCCTGCCCAGTACCATTAGTACAATGTCTGCTGTTAGCAGTGATCACTGTATTAGTGTCATTGGGATGTCAGTGGCAGTTAGTCAATTCCCCCCCCCAGTGTCAGAATGCCTGCTGATCGCTGCCATTGCTAGTATATAAAAAAAATTCCAGTATATATACCACCACTTGTAGACGCTATAACTTTCACGATTAATTAATTAATTTACACGTATTGTGATATTTTTTAGCAAAGATATGTAGCAGAATGCATTTTGGCCTAAATTTATGAAGAAATTAGATTTTTTAATTTTTTACTGAACATGTTTAATAGCCAAAAGTAAAAAATATTTTTTGCTCAAAATTGTCTTTTTTTATTTATAGCGCAAAAAATTAAAACCGCAGAGGCAATCAAATACCACCAAAAGAAAGCTCCATTTGTGGGAAAAAAAGGACATACATTTAATTTGGGTGCAACGTTGTATGACCGCGTAATTGTCAGTTAAAGTAATGCAGCGCCATATCACAAAAAGTGGCCTGGTCAGGAAGGGGGGTAAATCCTCTGGAGGGCAAGTGGTTAAAAAAACACCCCCTCTAGCATATCTGTCCATGGCCATCTTAAGTAATGGCAGATGAATCTACTTCTTGGAATATGCAATCTATCTGTCCTTAGCTCAGGCATGGCGGAAGGACTGTGTGCTTAGTTGAGAAAGCCTCACCTCCCTTACTGAAGACTCCTTGGATGGAAACCACAGAAGCAACTTAAGAAATGTAAAAAAAAAAAACTAAGTTTAAAACATGTAAATATAATTTACTTTCCTATTTATTTACTAATATTAGTAGCATAAGGATTAAAAATAGTCCATGTTAATTGAGAGAGTAAGGCTCTACTTTAATGAATATGTTGATAAAACACATTTTTTTTAATGTTCCAGTAAAACATTACACACATAGAGGGGAATTTACTAAGACTGGAGCAGTCAGATTCTGGAGCAGCTTTGCATGGCAACCAATCACCTTCTAGCTTTTATTTTCAAACTTTAACTGAACAAGCTGAAGATAGACGATGATTGGTTAGTATGCACAGCTACTCCAGATTCAGGGTTCTCTGTTTTAACAAATTCCCCCCCCATTGTGTCCTAGATTTTGAAAGTAGAGTCAGGATGGCTGCTGATATGAAAATTAACTGATCTTAAAATGAACTGATCATCTCTGGATGACTGAACAGTCAACCAAAATAAGAACTGGCTTGTTTTTACATGTGCATGTTTTAAGGCTCTGGTGCCCAACCTGCGGCCCATTGGTATATAGTGTGCAGCCCTTGGACCTCAGTAATTTGTAGTGGAAACATTGATTAAGGTGCTAACATTGATCTCTACTAGCCACATGTTACACATTCCCAGTTTTGTATTGTCTTCTGTAGCATATATACAGCCATAAATGTAACATGTCCACACTCTGTGACCCTCATTTCCTCTATTAGGTCTGTAGTTCTGACAGTCCTCTCAAGCAAATACATACTCTATATTGAACATTATCTGTAGCCCCTTGGTGATTTCAAGGGCAGTGTTTGATGCCTTAAAGTGTTACTGAACCCACAACAGTAAAATCAGTTTCTAAATGCAGTAAAGCATGCTTGTTATACTCACTGTGGAACCTAAAGGGGTTAATCCTCTGCACTGTGTAAAAAGGCTGTTTGATCCTGATTCTCTGATCTTCCCCCTCTTCCAGTGTCTCCCTCTTATCTCCTGATAAGACATATCGTGTGGATACACTGCACATTCTCAGTTTGGTGTGCATTGCTAGAGAGGTTTTTTTTTTTCTTGGGAGAGTGCATGTGATCAGCACAGGGCCAAACTGCACTGTCCAGACAGAGGTCAGGGGTCCTGCATCTTCCTAGAGAAAACTCCTTCTATAAGATTAAACAGTGCTCTGCTGAACACTGATAGAAGTCACAAGACTGCTCTAACTGCTGATGAGAAAATGTATTTAGCAGTTTATATTTACTAAAATAATTGCATTTCCATGTTCTGTGTCCTGTGGGAGACCAGATATACTGAATGCAGGGTCCTAGGTTTAGTAACACTTTTTGCTCACAACCACTGTTTTAAACTCATGGAAATCCTACAATTCACAGAATGAATGTTATGTTATGTATCTGCATAAATACAAAGAGCTTACTGGAGTTTTTATTTACATGGTCAAAAAGACAAAAGTCTAACTGGCAGAGCACTGACATCCCTCCCACTTCAACAGGCTAATCCATGCAAAGAGCTCTTACGGTGCATTGACAGAGAGGCTATCTAGTGTGTATTAAGCCCATCTCTCAGCATCCTTCCTCTTCATACTTCAATGATCTGCAAAGGTGAAAAAGACTCTTGACAGAGAGGTGAAACAGCAGCAAGCTATTATTCTGTGGTATACATCAAAGTAGTATGTGAAAGCATGGGAAAGGCTGGAGGACGTACCATAAAAACTGAAAATATCCAGGCATTTGGAAATATAATGGTAATTTTTCCGAAACGTTTTGACGCAATCAAATATTCAGGGTTTAAGGGATCCCCAGAGTGCAAAGAAGCTCTATGAGAGCTGCACTTGTCTGCAACATATCGTACTAACATAAACAATTTATTGCAAGTTTACAAGAAACAAAAGCTTTGCATAAGAACATAAATGTACGTGCGTGGGTGCACCTATATATAGTAATAACTGCGCTACAAATCACCGCAAACATTGGAGTGAGAGCAATAATGCTAGAGCTATTGTTCACAGCCTAGCTACAGCTTTCAGTGAAATTTAAATATTTCTTTTGGATCAAGCTGGTCCAAACAAACTGTTTACTTTACTAAGAGATGCTGCAGCTCTCAGCGCCATATGAACTGTACGGGTAGTTTCTGCTTCGTGCTTCTGCTTCATGTTCGGGGACTGTTCAGCCATTCCCAAGGACCTTTGTATTCTATGGATGAATACAAAGCTTCCTCTGAATGGTGGAGATTGTGAAGTCATCCCCATGCTTCGCCACCTTAGCCATTCAGAGGAAGCTTTGTATTAATTCATAGAATACAAAGCTCCCTGTGAATGGCTGAGCAGCGCTTAGTACAACTCAGTTTTGTTCTGGGAGTGGGCCATGAAGTTCCCATCCCACTACTGTAACATGGAGCTGTATATTGTATGTAGCTGAGGCTACATACAGTTCATACACCATTGACAGCCGCTGCACGTATAGTGAACTAAATAGTTAGCTTGATCTGAATGACCTATTTAACTTCAATAAAAGATGTAGATCCATTTTAACCACTTGCCCTCCGGAGGATTTACCCCCCTTCCTGACCAGGCCATTTTTTGCGATATGGCACTGTGTTAATTTAACTGACAATTGCGAAGTCATGCAACCCTGCACCCAAATTAAATTTACGTCCTTTTTTTCCCACAAATAGAGCTTTCTTTCAGCGGTATTTGAGAGCCTCTGCAGTTTTTATTTTTTGCGCTATAAACAAAAAAAGACCAATTTTGAGGAAAAAAAAACTATATTTTTGACTTTTTGCTATTAAACATGTCCAATAAAAAAAATGTAAAAAATCTAATTTCTTCATAAATTTACCCCAATATGTATTCTGCTACATTTCTTTGCTAAAAAAAAAAATCCCAATAAATTAATTGGTTTACATGAAAGTTATAGCATCTACAAATGTCGATATATATACTGGAATTTTTTTTTTTTATTTTACTAGTAATGGCGGCAATCAGCAACTTATAGCGGGACTGCGGCGGGCATTCTGACACTGGGGAGAACTGGCTTGGTGTCACTAACATCCCCAGTGACACTAATACAGTGATCAATGATAATAAAAAGCACTAACACTGTACTAATGACACTGGGCAGGACGGGGTTAACATCTGGGGCGATCAATGGGTTAACTGTGTGCTGACTGTTGTTTAACTATGTGCTGTGTGTGTGTTTTACAGTGTAAGTACACTGCTTTGTAGCAGTATGCTGCAGCTGACAGGGGAGAGATCTGTATCGGTTACACACAGGTCTCTCCCCTA